CAATTTGTGTTTATGGATGACAACGCCCATCCTTCACCGTGCAAACATCGTAAGTGAATGCCTTAAATTGGAGGATATCACCCGTATGCACTGGCCAGCATTCTCACCGGACTTGAATCCAGTAAAGAAAAGTTTTTTTACATTAATTAAAAAATAGAAAACATTTTCAGTACCTAAAACCAAATTTCTTTTAGAAATACTTTTTCTCTTATGTATTAACAAATTAACTTTCATCATTTATTAATTTCTGAATTGCATACTTAATAGTGGCTCCAAATTATTTTGTTGCACAAAGGACAACTGATATTAATATGATGAAAATTTTGCGCTGAATTAGTTTATGTTCTGAAGCTACCTGCTAACTTCGTACTATATAAAAAATTTAAAAGTAAAATACATGCTTTAAATTACCCTTAAATTAGAATAGGTTATTCTAATAAGTACAATTAAAACGAAGATGTATCTAGATGCAAGCAGGGATTAAAATCAGAATTGAGTAGCTGACGGTTATATATGAAAAAAGAAAAATGGGATAACTTGATATTTCATGTTTTCTTTCTAAAAAAATATTTTTATTAAAAAGAAATTTATAATTTCTGCAGCTAACATTGCGCTCATTGTAAACGTAGCAAAGCGTAGCGGAGTAGGAGTGCCATCTTGCGTTCAGTAGAAAATTCATGGTGGCCACCAAAAACACAAAAGAATATTTTCACATTGGTAGGCCTTGAGTATAAATTATCCTTGCTAAAACAAAATGTGAATATCGCCGAATCATCTTTAAATGTGCCAAGGTGGCAAACAGAAGTAAATCTTCAAGACACCCCTACAAATATTATAAGCAGGAACACGGCTGCAGACTGAATTTTTGGAATTTGCTTCATTCCATATAGTGTTATCAGGAGCTGTAAAAACAGTTTTGCAAATACCCTGATCTATTTTTGCCCGTTTATTTCTGTTGAGTTCTTCGTTTACTTCACTGTCCCCAGACTCACTAATAGTTTGTGTCTGGAATTCCTCTTCAGTTTCTACAGAAAAATTTCCAAACCTCCGTCAGACTCATTTTCAGATAGCTCCTGCAACATTTTTTAAATTTCTTTGTAAAATAAATTGTTTCTGAAAAGAAATGTAAGCATGAAAAACTGTGCATCTACCTTCCTTGCAGTATTTTCTTCAAACAAAGGACAAAAAAACAATTTTCTTTCTTTTAATTGCAAACAAAGGAACAACAGCTTATGTAGACATTACAAAGTAGTGAGACCACCCAGGTTTTTATCCCTGTGGGAGATAGTATGAATGCAATCAAAAAATCCTTATCAGTGAATGTTTTCCATAGTATGAATGCAATCAAAAAATCCTTATCAGTGAATGTTTTCCAAGGGTTATTTGACAATGCCTCCAGTAGAAAGAGGGATGAAAGTAAAAGAAGTCAAAATGACCCCCTCCACTCCTGCTGATGACTCCAACCCAAAGTTTATCAGGAAACAAAAAAGGCGTTTAAATTTATGGTAGAACATGGAATTTGCTGACCCTATAACAGTAATGTTCATCACATCTACACGTAGTGCATAAAAAGCCGACTGGCATTAAACCAGTTGGAGATTACAGAGCACTTAACTCGGTTACAGTTTTTGATTCATATACTATTCCACATGTACGAGATCACTCAATATCTTTATGGCAAGACAGTGTTCTCTAAACTAGATGTTGCAAGGGCTTATCATCTTATACCCATCTATGAAAAGCATATACCTAAAACAGTGATAATTATCCCTTTTGGTCTTTTTGAATTTCCTTATTTAAACTGTAGACTCGGAAATGTTGCTCAAACATTCCAGCGTTTAATGCACATAGTATTACGAGGACTAGATTTGTGTTACACATACTTAGATGACAGTCTAATATTCTCAGAAAACAAAATACTTCATAAACAACATATTTTTAAAATTTTACATAAATTAAATGAATATGGACTTAAATACTTCAAAATGTGTTTTTCTGAAATAGAAATAAAATTTTCATGGTTTCTGAAATGTTCAGAAGATCAGGGTAAGAAATCATTGTTCTTAGGCCATTTAATAACCAAGGATGGCACTAAACCTTTCTCTGAACAGGTGAATGTAATCGTCAACTTCAAAAGACCGTGAAATGTGAAACTCTGAAGGAAGTTATAGATTTACTAAATTTTTACTGTATGTGCTTGCTATATGCAGCACCTAATCAGGAACTACTCAGCGAATATTTAAAAGGTTAAAAAAAGAATGACAAGTGCAAAATTTCTTGGTCTCTTCAAACAAGTGAAGCTTTTGGAAATGCTAAACAAGAGTTAGCAAATGCTACATTATTAGCACGTCCTTCATCGAATGCATGCATTGTTCTTTAAGTTGATTCATCTAAGTACGCTATTGGTGGATCTCTGAATCATGTTACTAAACAAGGACTCGAATTCCTAGCAATTTTTTTTCCTAGAAAGCTAAACACCATAGAGACAAAATACAGTGCCTGTGATAGAGAATCGGAGTTGCCAACTCTCCCGATTTTCGACCGCTCACCCGCCAACCCGATTTACAATATATTTCTCCCGACTTTTTCTTATTCTTCACTGCAGTAAATACCTGAGTTGCTTTATTCCCAACAAAGAACCCTCCCTTACAATATGGAAATAGTAGAAAATTCCTAAAAAATTTGGCTATATCTCTTATACAGTGCCTTACACAGAGATTACAAAAAATACGTCAAATGTTTCCTAAAGTGGTTCGTGAAAGCATCGATAATGCGACTTTTAGTGTATCAGAAGAACGCCCATCAAAGAAACCAAAACTCGACAAAGGCCGACGTGCTATGTTTCCAAGATCCAAAGACAATAAAACTACAATTTCTTGCAAAATATGTGATAATTTTTCATGTAAAATTCATTCTTCCTATGTTTGCCAGAAGTGTATGTTAGCTTCTGACTCCTGATTAGGTATATAATTATTTTGAATGGATTTTTTTCCTTAAATATTGAAATAAGTTTTTTAAATAAAGAAGTATAGTTTCTAAATGAAATATTGCAATTATTGTTTATAATCAAATGATTTCTATAAAATATATAACACATTTTCCTAATGAAACTGCTTGGGGTGACGCTGTCACCCTGCGCGATCTCCAACGTCAGTGTTGGGTGCGGGCCTTCTGCCGGGTTAAACGATGCAAGTAATAAAAATGTTTTTTATGTCTAAGGTATTTTTGTATTGCTTGCATTTAAGACTTAGAAACTATTTAAAGTTAATTCATTATTAAAAACTATATTTTTATCATTTAAAAAGTCTTTTTAACATTGTGAAAAGTCTCCTGATTTTTTAGTGTCATAGGTTAACAAGTATGAGAGAATTATTAGCAGTATACTCATCCATTTGCAAATTTACATACGTGCTAGAGGGACACAAATTTACAGTATTTACTGACCACAAACCATTATTTGCTTTCAAAGAAAAACTTGAAAAATGCCTCTTAAGTCAAACTCGTTAACTAGATTTTATTTCTCAATTCACAACTGATATTCAGTACATTAAAAGAACTGATGATATTGTTGCTGACTTATTATCTTGCATTCACAAAATTAAAATTATTGGTCCTATTGATTATGAAGAAATTGCTGAAGCACAATCAAGAGATGACGAGTTAAAATACATACTTAACATTAACAATTCTTACAATTGAAAAAAACTTAAGCTTCCAAATTCCGAAATAGAATTATACAGTCAAATGTCGTTAATCTGGTCTCGTCGGGACTTCGGCGATTCCGGATTATAGATCATCAGTTTAAATCTGTTAAGATGGCATGCATAAATTATAAAATTAAAAATATGAAACCGTAATTTATGAAATAAAGAACAATTATGATCTAAAGGGTATCAAAATTTACAAAAAGAAAAAGCTTAATATTTATTTGTTTACTTTATTAAACATTTCTTTCAATGTAAGTTGCTTCCTTTCATGTGATAATACTTTCTCTTTAATTCTATTAAACAGACATAATTTCTTGTTTAGTTACAAAGTTCCGCTGTTCAAGTCCTATAATTTGCTGTGTTGAGAATACCGACTAATTTGTCAATCGAAATGTTTTCGTTTTCAATAACCTCTGGGTCACTTTCTTCACTATCGGAAGCGAAAACAGATTTCGGATTTCAAAACATACTTTTGCTTTGTAGATACAAATTACATATTAGTAAATATATATTGGAAATTCTATTTGACATAATCAAAAGTTCAAGCTTACTTTTATGAAATTGCTCTAACAGTCTGCAAAAAATAATAAGCCGGATCCAATTCGAAGATTAAGGAACAACGCAATCTGCAACATTAACTGAATTAGATAATTTTAGCTTAGCTTACATCTCCATTACACATTAAACGCGCATGCGCACAAACATATTCGCAGCCGTAAAAGTCTTACGCCGCGGTCTTAAACGCATGCGCAGAAAGTTTGTAGCTTTGAGGTCCGGATTATGGGTGTCCGAATTAACGACTTTTGACTGTATTTGTTATCTATTTAGGAAAAGTAAAAAAATTCCAAACAATTTCTTTCAATAAAACAAAAGTGATGAGTGGTCAAAAGTGTTCAGTGCGAGATCTGAAAGCCTTCAAGTTTGTGGTTATTATAAAGCTTAGTTGTCTGCTTATACACTAATGTTGTATCATGAGATTAGTGACAAAGATGTATGTAGCTAACTTTGTCTTGTTTCTATTGCATGTTGACAAAGTTAAGACTGGATTTTATGAGTTATCTGTTATAGTTTACATCCATTTCTTGCACATGCTTAAAACTTATCCGAGCTCCGAATAAACAAACTCTCACATGCCCTGGCTCAGCAGGCTGGCACTAAACATTTTCCTTCGTATTGCTATTATGCATTGTTTTTAAATACTATTATTTTCATTACATATTATAAATTAGCATGCATTTAATATTTATGTGTTTTACTTTTTTTTTTTTTTAAATTCTTGTTTCCGATTTTTAGGGTTATGTAGTGCGTATTAGTGGTGGAAATGACAAGCAAGGATTTCCAATGAAACAAGGTGTGTTAACAGCTGGTCGTGTAAGGCTTCTGCTGTCCAAAGGCCACTCGTGTTACAGACCACGAAGAACTGGTGAAAGAAAAAGAAAGTCTGTAAGGGGATGTATTGTTGATTCTAATTTGAGTGTTCTTTGCTTAGTAATTATTAAGAAAGGTAAATATTATTAATATTATTTTTGAAATTGGTATTTTATATTAAATGCTTTGTTTTTTCTGATTCCTAAATTATATACAGGAAAGAGCAGAACTACGTAAAAAAACATGCGAGGTATCTGGTAAACAGATATCAGTCATCCAAAATATATGTATTTGTATTGTAGCATGTAATATTTTAGTTCATTAGATTCTGCGAGTTGCAAACTTCAATAGAATTTACATTTTTTTTGTTTGGATTTAAATGTATCTAGAGAATTTAGCGTATACTGTTTCTTGTTGTCATTTCTGAAAATGAGTATTAGAATGCAATTAAAATGAATGTTAAACAGAAATTTACTGCGTACTCAGATATTTGGAAAACGTGGAAGATTAGGTTTTGCTTTGTTAATTGTATTTTGTTGATCTTGAAACAGTGGTTCTCAACCTTTTTTGAACATGCATCCCTTTCACCATTGCTAGACGATCATTCTCACTTTTCCAAAATACAAAAAATAGTTCTACATTTATTTAAATTTTATTTTTAATGTGTTTAATAAATTAAACTGTAGAAAATGGTGATGCACTGAAACTTGAATGAAAGTAGTTTTTCGTATTCATAAATTATAAACTAAAACAATCATATCCTATGTCTTATTCATACAGTTATTAACCTACTTTTCAGTGCAATCCTGTATTATTTGTTGAAAGTATACTCTGAAGAATCAGATATTCTGACATAGTGGTATTTGAGTTCAGAGCTGTTGTGCCATGACATCCCAGATGTGTTGTTTTGGGTTAAGTTCTGGTGAATTAGGTGGCAACATTAATTAGAATTCATCATTATGCTCCTTGAATACAATTCAAGCCTTGTGATATTGAGTGTTGTCCTGCTGGAATATTCCTTTTCCAGTTGGGAAGACAGACACCATGTAAGGGTGCAAGTTATCGGCAGTTATGTTCAGATAGTCTGCAGCTTTCGTGGTCTATTCCAGTGGTGCACAAACTTTTTTCGACTGCGAACCCCCTAGAGATAAATGTTCACAAATACAATATATATTTCGCGCATTTCTTTCATTTCATCGAATAAAAACATCATCATATCTGACTCATATTAATTTTATTTATAATTTTAAGAAATAACTTGTATAACACAAAAATCAGTAATTGCCCTATGATGTATGTGCTGCAAGTTTCTAATTATCCATCATTTGTATGATGATCAACTAGCCAAACTTCATTGATATAATAACATGTACACTTCATTTCTCAAATCAAACGTATCTGACTTCGGTGTGTAACAGTAATCTCTCATACGTTGAGCCCATCTCATTGCAAAGTATTGAAAAGAGACGGCTGTTGTGGCTGTTGCATTTAATGTAGTTAATTGAACTAACAGCGTCTTGTAATATGTTGTGCAACTCTTCATCCATATCTTTTGCAACAAGAGCTTGCCGATGAATCATACAGTGATTAAATACCATATGAGGCGCCACCTTCTGAATTAAGCCTCTGAGCCCTTTATTCGAACCTGTTAATGCTGCAGCACCATCAGTACAAACCGCAACACAGTTTGCCCAGGTAAGGGACTTTGTTTCAAAATATTCATTTATTACTTCGAATATTTTTTCTCCAGTTGTTTTTCCTTCCAAACTTTTGCAACATAAAAACGTTTCTGTTATATCTTCATTAAAAATAAACCTAACGTAAATAATTAGTTGTGACATTTTAGTAATATCGGTAGTCTCGTCCAGTTGTAAAGCAAATACAGATGAATTTTGTATGCGTTTAATGACTTCTGATTCGACATTTCGGAAATCTGCTGAGACACGTTATCTCTTGATAATGGTATTGTTTTTAGTTCATTTCCATATTTATCGCCATGCATAATTGATGTCATCTTAGGGGTTGCATTTTTTTATTAGTTTTTCCTAGGAAGAAGCTTCGTAATGCTTTCTGAGGTATTGTTGTAAATTTCTTTAAATGTGCACTTTGAATTTTCAGATTTTCAGCTCGTCTTTGAAAAAAATCGGCATGTTTATTTTGAAGTTCTTTATGTTTAGTTTCCAGGTGCCTTTTTAATTTAGCTGGTTTCATGCTCTCATTTGCTAATTTTTCGTTGCAAATGACACATATCGGGCGTTCTTCATCATCAACAACACAAAATGTAAAACCATACTTAATAAATTCCTCATTGTATTTTCTTATTTTTTTAGATCGGGCATTTAGTTCAGTATTTTGCGACTCCTCATCAGTATTTGTTCGTTTGTTAGCTGAAGATGTACCTGGTGTACGTATTACCCATTTATCCATTATGAAGATAGGGGTTAAATTATTTAAACTAAAACAAATAATATATAAAATTTTATCATTTTTTTTCGAGAAATTCAATAAAATTAACAAAGATCTTTCTCTAATGATAGTACATACCTGATAACAAAGAGTAGCAAAGCCCGATAAAAATATAAAAAATCATATTTACACAACATCACATGATAAACGTCGAGGATAAACTAAAACAATTGCAGGCCAACTGCTACATGCTACAACTTCATCCGAACCCTTATGTCTTCACTCTGACTATCAGATAAGATACACCGCGTACCTCGCCATCTGATTGGCTGATCACAGAAGTGAATTTTCCCCCTTTCCCTGCGGTTAACGTCTAGTCAGATAGGCGCTTTTCAGTAAAACTGGCAAATTACCGCGAAGAGGGCACTATCTACCAGAGTGAAAAACTTGCGTCTTCACACTTTACATACATTACGCATTATGGTCAAAGAAAGAGCGGACAGCATGAAATTGCAATTAAACAGTGAGTGACGGCGCTTCACTTTTATATGTACACTGTATGGTATGCAGGCATATAAATAATCACTGCATAATACTTTAATTTGCTTCCATGCTCTAAATTTAAAAGTTTGCCATTTCTGATTTTGTTGTTTGGTGTGTCATTAAATTCTAAAAATTCTGCCACACCAGCTTTACCATATATATTTCATATTTCTTCTGAATTTCATATTACTAAAGAAATAAAAGTAGCCGCTTTTTCTGTACATTGTAAATGCATTTAGTGTTTTTTAGAATAACAGAAATCCTTAATTAAATCCAAAAATTCTAAAATTAAAAGGAAACGTGTTGAAGAAAGAAACCGAATACATAAAGAAAATTATTCTTTAAAGATATGTGCAGTTATTATTATGTAAATTACCGAATTGTTTATGATTTCAACCTTTACTATAATTTTCCATTTCTGTTTCCTAATATGATAGGGTTACTGAGCCAGATTAAATTAAATTGTATAATCTTTGACCACCAGTCCACATTTAATTTGAATTACGTCACCATTATTGACTTTGTTAGCATCAGAACATGCCTTTATGTTTGTTCTAATCTAAGTTCTTTTTAAATAAGAGGCTTATTTAAACTTTTGTCTGATATTGTAGTTACTTTCAGACATAGTGATAATTTGCTTCACATCTATTGGGGGTTTTGGACTATTTAACTTTTACCAGATCAAGTAAAACCTCATACGTACATTGTGGAGTGTTTGACAGGTTAGGAGATAAAGCATGCAGAAACTAGTGACAGTATTTGTTTGCATATTGAGGCAAATCTCTAATTATTGTTAGAAAATTTGCTTAAAGAGAAGGCAATCAATATAAACCAGCAAAAATGTTTGAGAAGGCTTCAAATTAAAATGACGAATAAATATTTTGTTGAGTATTGTTGTTACAAACATACATGTTTTGTAGCTTTTAATGTGTAATTGTTCTAATATTGTTTAAGAATCAGTGTCATAAATTACATGTATTTTAAACTGTGAAATTTTATTAGATTTTGATTTTAATAGGGCTTTTTTAACAAATATTGTTGGAAAAAAAATTTAATAGTAGCCATGTAAATCCATAATGATTAAGGTTACCTATTTACCTAATTTAATTATTTATAACTAACTGCTTGCCCTTAGAAATTATCTCCATGTATTAAAGCGAGTTATTGCCTTTCATTAACCACTTGCGCTAAAAAGACGTGCCATGCACGTCAAGATGCTTTTGTCTCAAACCGTGCGCAAAAATTAAAATAACGTGGTGCACAGGTCGCCTAACGATATTGTTTATTTCTTGAGTTACAGCTCTGGGTTGTACTTGCAGATGCGGAGCGACGTAAATGAGACACTTTACCACTTGTTATATTGTAGCGCACGGCACCGCAACCGTGAAGTTTAGTCGTAGCGCAAGTGTTTAATACTCACTGGTCACAAGATAAAACACAAAAATGTAGAAATTCAAGTAAAACTTATTCTTTGCATCTGGTGAGACTTAAAGTATTACAACTTATCACCTTTAATGCTTGAATGGCTTCCTGAAAGTATATTAACTGGGTTACAACCCGTGGAATTCTGCACAAAGCTATGATGCTAACTGTATCAAACAGAGCCCGACTAACTATCAACACTTGCTAACCGTGCCTACATCAGGCCTTTCAAGTTTGTTCTAATCAGCAGGTCTCTAGACAAGCAGCAGCGGTAATAATATTCTGTCTTTTGTTATGAATCATGCTGATTATGATCTTACTTCTCATTTTAACCTATGTTGTTTGACATAAAATCTACCTGTTATTTATTAAACCTCTAGACCAGCACCTTTTGACTAATGTGTATTTCCTTTTGTGTATTTTCTCTCATTTATTTAATGTCTTCTAGGTGATCAAGATATTCCTGGCTTAACAGATACTACCATCCCTCGTAGACTTGGACCAAAGAGAGCCAGCAAAATAAGGAAACTATTCAACTTAGCTAAAGATGATGATGTTCGTCAGTTTGTTGTCAAAAGACCTCTTCCTCAAAAAGAAGGTACTTATATTAATGAATATTTTAAGGCTTATTGTAGTTAAATGTGTGTGCCCTCAAAGAATGCCATAGTGTGATTAATAATTTTTACATTTATAAATGCAGTACTTTAAAATGCAATAAATGCAAGAGCTGGTTTTTCTGTAGATAAAAAAGAATTGTTTTTCTAAGTTAGACTCTTGCAACTTATAAGGCCAGAAATGGTGGTCATTTTATTATGGAGTCACATAACAGGCGGGCATTCTTACCTCCTATGAGGGGACAGGTAGTTACAACCATGCCTTCTGTGATTCAAACCCAGGCACTTAACCACTATACTGTCTGGGCGACTGAATTTAATAAATAGGAAAGGTGCTTTCTGACTATCCATGTCCCCACATAAGTCTCAGATGGGGCTCAACTTTGGAGTAAATTTGAGAATTCAGTGGTGACTTAAAAGAGAAGCATTTGTTTGGGTATCTTTATGGCTCACAGGTATTGTTCTATTCATTAAAAAAGGAAAGCATTTTATAAAAAATACATGGGAAAGCAGAAAATATGTATGGATGATATTTTCATTTTTACGGCTGTTTGGTGCTGTTAGCTATTTCCTTTAGAATTTCTTAAAACAGGCTTTTTCTTAATGAGTGAATGTTCTGTCAGATAAATTCAGCAAGATCATTTGGAAGGTATTGTCTTGCAGTTCTTTCTGCTCATTTCTCTAAAGTCATTAAATATGTTGTGTATGGATGCTACTTGGTGGGTTCATAAAATTATTTTTGTGGTTCACTTTCCAGCTCTTAGTGCTGGTTGTTGCAGTCACCAGAAGCTCTTTCTTTCTCACACTGCAAATTTCTATTAATTATTATTGATAGTATTTTTGGGGACAGTCCCACTTTCTCACAGAATTTTTGCTGACATGTATGTCCAATAATAAATATTTTATCTTCAGACTAGTTTCCAACATGCATTCTAACACTTTGCTTGCAATTTTAGAAACAAAAAATGTCATAGAACAAGTTTTTTTGCAATGCAGTGCTTTCTTTTTTATCAACTGATAAAATTCATAGTCCCATTACAGTTTGTTATAACAAAAATACATGGTCAAAAGTGGGAAAAGAAATACTATCAAAAATTAGGAAAATGACAATTGAATTTAAAATTGCAAATTTCTTAAGTTTTCTAACATGTGTGATATGTGGGTTGCAATCTAAAACTTTTTGGCAACAGCGTGTCACTGGGGATGTGGAAAATCAGAAAGTTTCATTGTATTCAATTTTTATATGTATTCATTCTAAAAATTTATTTAAATGGATAAGTTCAGATAATGAAAAATGCTTTTCCAGTATATTGTTACAAAAATATGTGCTTAAAATTAATCTTTAAGAAAATCAATAAGAAAGTATAAAAATGGTTTCTCTCAAGTGCATAAAAAGATATAAGCTGTGTCTTATTGAAGTTTGCAACCCAGAAGACGATCAGTCGCAGTTTGTCCTACATACTAGAAGTAAATTTCTCACGAGCTATTACCTTATATATGTGATTGATATTGGGGAAGTTATATTTTAGAAAAATTTAGGTAGGTGATAAATAGAAGTATGATCTGCGAGTCCTTCAAAAAGGCATTCATTCCTTTAGGCAGATAACCCTCTTGTGCTTTGCCATATTCAAGTAATTTAACTTAACTAACCACTAATAAGAAAAGTTGCAAATGATTGTGAAGTAAAATAAAGTCATGCTGATTTCATCTCATAGAATAAGCCCAGAAGTTTAAAATGTCATTGTTTTATAAAATGTCATTGTTTTAAGATAACCATTTGTATTGAAAAGAAATCCAGAAAGATTAAATATTTATAATTGCGTATAATGCGTCTTCGTAAGTAGCAAAGCTTGCGTTCTGCTGGAGTCTCCAGCTCTGCAATTTTTATTTAACATTTTTAATGTTACTGACTCGTATGCTGAGTACATTTTGGGAATCATCCCAAGTTTTTCCTTTTGTTTCAAGTTAAATTCAAAAGTTCATTTTTTATACATATTTTTTCATTTAATTTTGTTCCTAATTTAATGCAAACCATTTTTATTTCAAGAAAAATTATTATTGCAGATTTAATTAACATTTATTATTTTTCCTTCTGAAAAAGTGAGTTTTTATGTTATCTTCATTTGAACAGTTTTTGTTATATGTAATAAAATTTGTGTATGTCTAGTATACTACTAGCTGTATAGATTAATATTTTTTCTTTCATGCTTATGTATGAAATAAATTATATAAGTCCAAGCTATGAAATTATTAAAACTAAAACATAATCATTGCATAAGTCAATTGCATAGTAAATTACATCTTAAATCAATTCTGTTAAGATAAACAATTAAATATTGCATGAATATGCTACAGTTCTTATCTTTAAAATATGCTCCTCTATTTTCCTTTATTTTTAGGCAAAAGGCCTCAAACTAAAGCTCCAAAAATTCAGAGACTTGTAACTCCTGTCATGCTTCAGCGTAAGCGTCATCGTTTAGCTTTAAAACGCAAAAGGGCTCAGAAACGAAAAGATGAAGCAGCAGAATATGCCAGACTTTTGGCACAAAGGGCTAAGGAAGCTAAAGAAAAACGTGCAGAAGAAGTTCGTCGTAGGCGGTCTGCTTCTCAGAGGGAATCCCAGTCGTCTGCTGGTGGAAAAATCAGTGTCAGCAAATGAATAAATAAAATAGAATAAATTTGACTGTGCTGAGAAGTTTTGTTTCCTTTTTTTTCGTCAAACCTTCGTTTTTGCTTCATGTAAAAGCTATGCCTTTCATCATATGTATATGTGGAATTTATTTTTGCATTAATAGCTTAGGGATTTAAATTCGTGATCTTTAGTGACGCACAGCCTAGGATTAAGATATAAATCATATTTGAGTAATATTTGATTTTATTTACAAGATTCTAAAGTATTAACATATTGATAATTTTTTATCACTAACATCAAATGAGTTCCAAAATAAGAACTATATTTTTTGAAAAAGTAAAATTTCATAGTCTTATAAACAGGTATTTTGATAAGTAAATTGCAGAAACGCAAAAAGGAATTAACAACATAGAGTAATTACAGTGATTGAAATCAAAGTTAATCACTTAAGTAATTATATATATATATATACAAGGTGTGTTCGAAAAGTTCAGTCATTGGTCTCATAATTAAAAAACTGCACCGCTTAGGATCTTGCACTCACGCAGACACAGTGAGAGAAATGCCATCTAACGGCCATTTTACAACAGATAAGAGGAAGCGCATGCTATGAGCAGTTTAAAACAGTCAGTGTGACATGGAGCAACACATAAACATAAAGTTTTGCTTCAAGTTAGGCAAAACGGAGACACATGACATGTGAAAGTTTACGGTCACAGGGTTCGTAGCGGTCCTTATATTTGAAAATAAAATATAAAGGGCCTTATTTTTTTTCTTTTAGTGCTTTATTTTAAATGAACGCACACTTTTTCCCCGTACCAAAGCTGAAACTAAATAAACAACTTTTTCTTCCTAATATGGAATGTCAGATGGTGAATCATACTCCCGGAAATAGCTTTTCCCTCTATCTCTGCATTAATATAACCTTTGGTGTGCACGAAGAGTACAGACAGGTGCCTGTCGTTCTATTGGGCTAAGAATTGCGATGCAGTAAAAAATTCCGGTACATTAGGCATTCTTTTCCTCCCACCCAAATACTACACACGTTTGAATTTCTATCAAGATCTTAATAATTTGCATTCTCGTTATGCTTGGTCAGTTCATATTCGTGTTTATTATGATCATTATGCTTATATTATGAGCATATGTATGAATGTTTATAACATAGTTGCAGTAACTGCTGAAGTATAGTAAACTTCCAAAAATGGTTCTGTTTTAACACAGATTAGCTTTCTAATTAATAATATTCGGAATGGCTTAAATAAAGGGAAAGTAATCGAATGGTCAAAATAATTTCATTTTTTTGGCCAATACATTATACAGTACGAAGGTTGAGATGGGAGGTTCTCCTCTTTCTCTGCAAAATCTCGAATATTGAAACTGTTACAATTCGCTGCAAAACAAGCAAAAGACCCCACCTTTTTTTTTTTTTTTTTTTGTCATTTTCCAATCTGGACTGAATAGGACTAAAAGTTCTGCAGTCTACCAACCAAAGCGAAGAATTATTCTGTTCCGGAAATTTAACGCCGTCTGTTGAAAATTAGAATGAAAAACACCCCAGTTATTTAGTTCTTTATTCTCCCAATACCAGCAGCTGTTGAATCCAATTGCGTAATATCATGCAGGGAAGAATTACGGTGCACGTTTTGTGCAATAACATTTGCTTTGCAGAGATAATTAATTTTGATGTTCGGTCTGAGTTTACTGTGCTTGCTAAGAATATTTTTCTGTTCCGTTGGTTTGTTTTTATATGATGCACATATAGAAATGTCAAAAGCATATATTTAGTGGAAAAATCTAAAGAACGGCTACAGTCTATCCTTCCCCTCCGCTCCTCTTTTATAAGTTACGCTCGACTGTCCGAATATTCGCCAACTTTCAGTTATGCGGGTAGTTGAGCTTTTACTGTTAAAGATGACTGCATGAAGCAAATTTCTGTCTTGTGATTTCAGAAATGTTCCTTTTTTTTTACTTAAATTACTTTGCTTGCAATATCTGTTAAGGAAAAACTGATATATGATGAAAATTTAGAAAGTGTTCAGAATTTAGATTTAAATTAGCTAAATATCAATATGAGTGGAAGAATAAATTGTATTTATTATTAAGTTCCAAGCGAATAGAATAAATATGCCTTATTATTATTTATTTCCTCTATTTAGAACTGAAATTTCATCATTAATCTTGTAGTAGTGTAGTTCTGCATGGTTTTTTTTTCTCTCATTGTAAACTAGTTCTGTAAATTGAACTGTTATTTAAAATTAAAAAAAAAAGTAATTATTTTCCATGGTTGAGGTAATGCTTATTCTCTCTTAATAAATACTGCATTTCTCATATTTTAAATTACAAGTCTAATTTTTGAAGTTATGCAGATGTGTATAATGTAATTAGACAGGTGCTTATTTTTTTTTCTTAAAATGTGCTTGAAAAGTGCTTATAGGTGCTTATTTTTTTAACTGAAATGTGGCTATGAACCCTGGGTCAGGAAGCAGCGAGTAAAATGTTGTTTAAACGCTTTAAAGACGGAAAGGAGGACGTCAAAGATAAGCCGCAGTCGGGGCGCCCTACTACAAGCACAACTCCAGACAATGTGGAACGAGTTCGATGGATGCTTGCAGCAGATCGACGACTATCTTTAAGAAAGATAGCTGCTGAATTGCAGATAAGCCTAGACAGTGTGAGCATCATTGTGCACAAACATTTGCATAAATGTAAGATATGCGAAGCACAACTCCAGACAATGTGGAACGAGTTCGATGGATGCTTGCAGCAGATCGACGACTATCTTTAAGAATGATAGCAGGTGAATTGCAGATAAGCCTAGACAGCATGAGCAACATTGTGCACAAACATTTGCATAAATGTAAGATATGTGCACGGTTTGTACCACACTCACTGTCAGATAAGCAAAAGCAATACCGGATGGAAACCTGGAGATTTTATTGACATGTGTGACCGGAATCCACAATTCTTGGAAACAATAATTACAGGGGACGAGTCGTGGTGCTGTCGATACGGTCCGGAGACCAAGCGGCAATCCATGGCATGGTGTTCAGCATTGTCATCCCCTCCCAAAAACTTCGTTTGACACAATCCAGGACCAAGACACTGTTGATCGTCTTTTTCGACAGCAAGGGTTTGATCCATCGTGACTTTGTACTCGCAGCTACAACCGTCAATGCAAAACACTACGGGGGATTTGAAACGGCTGCTGTTACGCATACGCCGAATTCGGCCACAGTACCGGAATGGACAGTGGAATCATCTCCATGACAACGCCCGGCCACACATTGCGATCCATGTAACGACAGACCAGGTTCCAGTTTTGAATCACCCTCCATATTCTCCAGATCTGGCTCCCGCGGACTTCTTCCTGTTTCCCCGCCTCAAAGCAGTTCTGAAAGGCCAACACTTTTCCGACATTACTGAGATCCAACGTCTGATAACGGTGCTTCGAGCCATAACGAAAGAAGAGTTTGCAGACAGTTTCCAACAATTGTACGCCCGATGTCAAAAGTGTATTGTTGCTAATGGTGAATACTTTAAAGCTATTTTGCATGTTTCTCTTGTTTCCTTTTTTTTTATGGTAAAATTCACTGGACTTTTCAAACACACCTTGTATAAGGGTAGCCCAAATGAAAAGTGGACACGTGCGATAATGTTAGAATGAATGCATCAATAGCAGATTAAATTGTGCGTAAGGAAGTCGCGCTATCCATGGATGCATCCAGATTAGAACAACGCACGGTAGTGCAGTTTCTGGTTGTGGAAGGTGAGCATAATGTGGACATTATCAAAGAATGGTGACAATGTATGGTGGCCGCTGATTAGGTCGTACGGCTGTAAACAATTGGTTTAAAAGTTTCCGTGAAGGGCGGCGAACGACATCGGATCTGCCGATACCTGGCCAAGCAAACAAAGTGATCACCAATGATTTCATTGTCTCCATGAAATAATCCAAACTAATCGAAGGGTTACGATCCGTGAAATCAATCACGAACTCAACCTGAGTAAAGGAACGGTTAACACCATTATCCACAAACATCTGGGGTACAGCAAAGTGTCTGCGGCATGGGTACCAAAACACCTGACCCTTGATCATCGAGAACAACGAATGAGCTGTCTCCAGCATTTGATCAATTAGGAGGAGAATCCCACATTTCTGGATTGTACTGTTGCGGGCTTGGTGCCACCACTACACACCCAAATTCCGTTGGTAGGTTTTGGAGCCCCCCCCCCCAATACAGCCCGGACATGTCATCCTGTGACTTTCGCATCTTTGGGCTACTTAACCCTTTAAAGGGCACCCGTATGTAACAAAAAATTGTTTGTCAGTTTTGAAACCTCCGAAAAATGCTAGTTTCTCTACTCCAAAAGCTACAATCGTAAGTTTGTAGTGTTTCCTCTCGATTCTAAATGGTAGCACCACCCTGTGAATGCTCAATATTTTGCAGTTGTGAAACTAATATACCTCGTTCCAAGGTATGTTTGAAGATTGATAAGTTCTATTGGAGGGAAAGAAAACATTAAAAATCTGTAAATATATGACGTACATATGCTGAACCTTTTATATTTACTGCATTTCAATCAAAACATAATTAAAAGCAGATTGTATACAGCCCTACTGAGGTTATGTTGCCAATAGATGGCAGCACCAGGCTTCTCTACCTCTGTGAGATGACAATATTTCTTTACATTATTTAATTTGTTTACGATTAACTTGCAAGTTCTTTAGAAGTCAGTATTATGTTCATGAAGGGATGGGGAGTTTACTGACCCTGCAATTAGAACTGAATACAAGTATATTTGTTTCTTTTTATTACTCCACTTAAGTTTCATTCGTCTCTATTTTCCGAAGAGAAAGACTCATCGAATTCAAAATTGCTATCTGGGGTCAAAATTTTACACAATTGTAGGGGTTAAATGTGGCATGTTAGTCGTGTTTTCTAAAATCCTAGAATCCAACGAAAATGAAAGGTGATTGACAACTGATTTGTCATTCGGGAGTCACGCCTTCTCCCTTTGTGTGGTGTGATAAGATCACACAAAGAGAAAGCTTACTTAAA